TTCTTTCCATTCTGATCTTCACTAGTTATAAATAACACATTAAATGACTTTCAAGGTAGAAAGCAGGAATCCATTTTGAAATGTTCTATAAAATAGTGATTTATGGTTTTCTATGATGTGGGCTATAGCACTTGGGTTTGTCAGGTCATCAAAGTCCTGTCAGTGGAATCTGTTATTTATAGTTTGATATGCTGGGAATGGTGTAAATGCTTTATGTTTATCTTATATAAGATAAGATAAGAATGGTGTAAGGGAATCAATTTCAGACAGTAATACAATTTCAAGAATATGTCATAGAGAATTAATTTAAGTATTATAGTGATAAAGGATGAGGTTTAACATTAACAATTTGGATTAAAGGGGGAGTTTGAAAAATGAATGAAAAATTGTCTCATTTCTATAAAATATTGTAGGTAAGATTCTTGAAAGTGTTAATTTCCTACCATTTTTCTTTGATTTTAGTCTACTTCTTTCATTTGATAATGAAACATCTTTATTTTACCAGACAGGTTTTAGAAAATAATGAAAGCTGGGACCATACATAATGGTATTCTTGTGATATATTTTATTTGTAGTTGCCAGGTTTATCACAAAACCTCAACAGGGAAGGGTGTGATGAACCAAACCTCAGTTTCTTCTATCACACCTCTTATGAAATGCTATTTTCATACCTTATATTTACCTTCTTAATAAAATGACTTGACTGTCAGTGTTGCCGATTGTGCATCAGAATTACAGTTTCATGGACTGCTATGGCAGAGAAAGTTCTTTGGTATAGCCTTTCTAATTTAATAATAATGTTCAATATGAAAAGCTTAAATGATAGCCAGTAGTTGATGAGCTTTTATAGTATGTATATTATAAAGACTTTAAAAATGATTTTAAATTATTACATTTTTGAATATACCTAATTGGTAAACAAGTGATAGCCTTTATTTCTTTCAAATATCTGAACTTATTGAAGGAGTAGGATGTGGAAGGAAGAGAACTAGTATTTATCAAATGTCAGTGACCTACCAGGAAGCATTTTATAAGGTGTTTCATATCATTATGGACCGTCCTTCCTTAAATGGGGATAAAGAAGTATATTATTAGCCCCATTTAACAGCTGAAAATATACTTGTATATATGTGCTCACACATTTTATACAGTGTTTCCCATTGAATGCTGTGTGGGATTTCACCTTCATCTAGGTTATCTATTTCTAGCTCATGTCTGGCTTTTCCTCGAGGGAGGAATTGTATAATTCATTATAAGGATATTTATATTTCATATAAATGCCATATAGGGATGTTTTGTGAATTTGAGTAATGATTCAGATGTTAACTTTTTTAAGTTATTAAAAGAAGTTTTGTATTTAATCAAAGGTTCAAATGTTATTAAAGTTGAGCTTATAAATACTAGTTTAAACAAAGCAAGCAGTCATTTTATTAAATTGTCAAAAGACAATTGTGTTACTTTTTCCTAAATAGGAAGTTTTTTAAAAACTTAAGCCTTCAGTTTTATGCAAGCTTATTTTCTGTGCTGTGATGTGAGGTTGTTTTATTTTTTTCTGAAACATTGATTTTACTATGCTGTTATGGTTAAAATCCTTTTTAAGACTTCACTTCTTAAATGTTCAAGTTCAAACTCCACAATTTGGTTTTAACCATTCTTTTATTTTTAAAATTTTGTTGTATTGTAGTAAGAACATTTAACATGAAATTTACCCTCTTAATTTTCAAGTGTACAATACAGTGGTCACTATAGCTACAGTATTGTACAACAGATCTCTAGATCTTATACATCTTGCATAACTGATACTTATGCCCCTTGATTAACAACTTTCTATTTCTTTTTCCTGAAAACCCGTGACAACCACCATTCTACTGTCCATATATTTATCTATTTTAGGTACCTTATATAGGTAGAATCATGCAATATTTGTCATTCTGTGCCCTGTTTTATGTTTGTTGCAGCAATATTCATAGTAGTTAAGATGTGAGAACAACTTAAATGTCCATTAACAGAAGAATGGGTAAAGAAAATCTGGCATACCCATATAATGGAATGTTACTTGGTAATTAACGAAAAGTAATGAAATACTATGATGCAACATAAATGACCCTTGCAAACATTATGCTAAGTGAAGTAGGTGGATGTACTCTTTTTTTTTTTAAAGCCTCACCTTCTGGTCTCCTTAACTTTACTCTTTGCCTTAAGAATGCTCCCTTGCATTTTTCCTTTTCTTTCTACATTCTTAAATTTAGGTTGTTGGAGATCCTGAAAGACCTAGCTGTTTCTCTTTTGTTCTCTGGAGCTTTGCAGTACTTCTGTCTGTGGTGGGAGTGTTTTCTTGCATTGTTTTCCTATAACAGGTTGAAATATACTAATTATTTTAATTTCTAAATTTTGTTCTTTAGACTGGGATCTGTTAGGCTAGGATAATTTACTTGATCTTTTTTTTTTTTCTCACTGCCTATAGCAGTCTGCTCTGTTCTGCCTTCCCTCTCCCCTTCCTCCCTTTTTCTCTTTTTCCATTTGTTTTCTTTAGCATGTAGTTATAGGGAATCTGTGCTTTCCATGCTCAAAGAACTGTTTATTGAATGAATGGGAAGAAATATGTAATCTTGGCCAGAAAGACATTGCTAACTGCATTGTTTGTTCTTTTAATCACGAAGATTATAAGCCCTTTCTGTTTAACATTGGAATAACCTATTTGTTTCACAAACCTGTAGGGGTGTCTGGATGAAAGTATTGGAGAAAAACACAAATGATAGTCCTTTTGGTTTTATATAACTTGGACTCAAGTATTGTAATCCATTCTTGGCTTTGCTTTATCAGCCGAGACCTGAATTCTGACAGAATTGATTGCAGGCATGGAAGTATCCACATACATATCTGTCTATCCAAAATAACAGCTATTTGGGGCCAAATAGAAGAGAGTAATATTATTGACTGCTATTGAAATTGGTGTTTGCAGTAGTGTTAGATAAAAGTATAGTGCTTCTAATATATATTTTAAAGGGTAATAAAAGCAGATAGAGTTCATAAGGTAAATACCCCTACTAACAACTAAAGAATCCTATGAGGTAGATGGTAATATTCCTATTGATGGATAGAGCATCAGAGACTCAGAGAAGCCAAGTGACTTAGCTGAGGTTGTGCAAGTAGTTAACCAATAAAAGAAAGACTGAAGTCTAGGTCAGTCAATTGAAACTGCTCATTTCATTGTTTTCCTTGTACTGCCCTTAAATCCTCATTCTCAAAGCTATGTCCAAGTTGGATGTAGTGACTTACCATGGTAATTTCAGTTGGAGATACTGAATTACTTGATACATATTTAGCAACATGCTAGAATCTGTTTCCTTACATGGGTAATACTGTTTCCCAGGATTACAAAAAATAAATGATATGTGTTAAAACGTGGTGGGAAGCATAAAATCCTGTAATTTTAAGGACTATTACTAATGGTCTCATTATTATACAAAGAGCATTAATCTTTAATATACTAATTCTGCTTTCCAAATTTTTCTTTGCTGTTGTCCTTTTTTTGTTTGTTTGTTTGTTTGTTTGTTTTGGTGTGAGGGGATCTAACTCTGGACCTTGTGCTTTCGAGGCAGGCCTTGGAACCACTGAGCTAAATCCCCTGCCCTGCTGTTGTCCTTTTAACTAAGTTGCTTATCAGCTTTTAAAGTACCTAATGATTACATTATGTAATAAGGAAATTAAAGTGTGGCAAAAAGTTCAGATAATCTTAGGATAAAAGATATTAGAATAGTTCTAAGTGAAGAACTTTGTTTGCTTAACAGTGTAAAGCTTTATTCCTCCTATTTGTCTCTGCCCTAAAAATTTTCATTTTGTTTTCTTGAACTGTATACAAAGTGAATATTAGAAATTTGTGATGGCTTGTTTCCAATGATTGATATTTAATGGTTATATTCAGTACATTGCATCAGAACTTTTTTTTTTTGGAACCAAACATATACCCAGTGTTCAATCCTAGAAAAGTAGTTCTTCCCTGAAGGCAGCTAGACCTTGTGTTTAATGTGGTTTTTAACTAGAGATTATTTCACTTGCTTCCATGTGCATATTACTTTTTCTATATGAAAAAGATAATTATCTTTTCCTGAAATCCTTGATTTTTGTGTATAGTTTAAACTCTTGCCAAAACAGTAGTGCAATTTTTTTTCTACTAGGTAAAAGTACAAGAGGATCGGGATGTTGCATGGTTGTGGTAGCTCTACAGAATTGTATTAAACTCTCTATCTTATTTTTTCTTTGTTTTTTAAGACAGAGTGTTGCTTTACTGACCAAAAGCAAAGTATTATTTCTTATAAATGGCCTCCTTTTAAACTAGCTTTCATCTTTTCTTTTTTTTTTTTGAGACAGGATCTTGTTATGTAGTTCAGGGTGGCCTTGTACTCACAGTGATTCTCCAGTCTCAGCCTCTCGAGTGCTGAGATTTCAGGCACGTACCACCACACCTGACCATATTTCTTAAACCAAAAAATGCCCTTAGAGGCATTGTAGCTTTGGAGTTAGATCTGAGTTCCATTTTCCACTCTATAACTTTTTATTTTCATTTCTAGAATACATAATACAGATTCTTATCTTTCAATGCACTTGAAAACATCAGATTTATATAAACAGTACTCTTATAGTTGCTCATTTATGTTAATTTTCAGGTGAAAAAATTTAAATTTTGTCTCTTAAAACATCTACACAAAAATTTCAGTAGCAGTGGTATATGTTTAAGGAACCTCTAACAGTGTAATTAATACAAAGTGTAATTTTTTTTTTTTTTTTTTGGTACCCAGGATGGAACTCAGGTCCTTGCGCTTGCGAGGCAGAACCACTGAGCTAAATCCCAGGCCCTACAAAGTGTAATTTTGAACAAGCAAAATTCTTTTTGTTCAGTGATTCTATACAATGATAGCATGACTTGAAAATTTTATGTAAAATATATATGTACATATATATTTCTACATTCTAAATGATATAGGTATGTGTTTTTATAGGTTTGCCTGAATCCATCTTTGCAGCTGCATGTTCAAGGAGTGGCCAGAGGGTTCTGCATGTTGATTCGTAAGTCTTATGAATGGTAGCATTTAATGCTTCCTGAATACTCTATAGAAGTTTAAAATGTAATTAAACATGCATATGTATAAAAACTTAAGGTAGAAAAGAAACTGCAGTTATTTAATTTTTACCAACAATATGTGAAATATATAACATATAAGTTTTTCTATTGTATTATTTGGAATGGGGCCTGTTTCTTTTGAGAATAAACCAGATGTATCATTTTAATTTTCTCATGAGTGATTTTGATATTTAAATAATTCTCCAAGAGGCTTGGAAACTTCACATCTGCCCTTTCACTTATATATATGTATGAATATATGAAACTCAAATGTGCTCTGTATTATAGGCTTCATATTTGATTGTTGTAAAATTTAGCTAACAGGTAGGAGTATGTGGCTTTTTTTTAAGGATCATCAAAATTTAAACTTAGAAAAATCTTAACTAGAAAAAATATCCAGGATTATGTTTTCCCTTAAAAGTGATGATAAAAGGAAGTTAATGGAAGACAGAAGTGTGAAATAAAGCATAGTTTAAATCTCTATGCCCACATCACCTCCCAAAACAAACTTCTAATCTTCTACCTATGTATTTAGGGCTTCTGACCACTGTATCTTGTTACATTAATTGTTCATTGAATAAGCAAAGAAGAGAAAGAATAAATAGATTTTCTATTTTCTGTTAAATATTAAGTGACTTAATAATTTACAGAATGCCAGAAAATGAAGTATCATTAGATTTGCCATAGTTTATAATGCCTTTTCATAAATTGTCCCATTATGAATATGTAGGAATCTAAAAAGTGGCATTAATTTACATGTAACCCTAATTTTGTTTTGAAAGCTTGTTAATTTCTCAGTTATTAGATGGAATTGCTAAATTAGATTCAGGCCCACCTTTGGAATTCTCTTTCATTATGGTATGTAGAACTACTTGTATGATTGTCTCAATTCAGTCTTTATGTAATATGAATTCATATGCCAAAAAGTTTGCTACATTAAAAATCCAGGTGTGGGCCATTATTTTTAAAAGCTTTAATAAAAGTATAAGCTTAAATTTATTTCTGATGACTTTTGTTAATTTAAGCTTCATACTAAAATATTTTTTGTGAATGTCTTAAAGATAGAGTGATAGTGATATAGGGATGATATAGGGCCTCTAAATAATATAGGGGAAATATAACTCTGAACTTGTTAGATGTCTGATATGCCAAGTTTGTGTTTTTTTAAATTGAACGAATTCTAGGAATAGTGGAGATTTAAGAGTGGGAAATATTTATTGAGGAATAGACAGCTCCTGCCTGAGAGGTACAGGAGGGAGTCCGGAAAGTGAGTTGCCCACGAGCTCACTTCTCATAGAAGTTTTATAGACCAAATCATGAGATGGGTACAAAATTACAAGGTGAGCATAAAGGTGGGGCAAACTGTGGTTAACCAATAAGATTAAAAGTATAGTACCTTAGGTTATATCCATCCAATGGGGAAGCAACTCATGTAATAAATGTACATGGAGAGAACAAGGACCTTTCCTAGAAGCCATAGGTCAGGGACCTTTCCTGGAAGGGATAGGTCATGAGGTCTTGGTCTCCTACCCAAGGTGACTGATACCTATTTAGAATATCAATTATTATCCTTTATGTCTTGGGAAATATGTAGGTATATCATTTTATCTTTATCTTGAGGCCTGGCCTTCAATGAATGCTCCTCCAGCCATAGTTATAATATGTTCTTATCTTCTGCATTGACTTCTTCAAGGGCCTAGCCCTGTCTGACTGGCTATAATATTTTCATCTAACTTAACTGTCTATAATAATTGTAAAAGTTAATTTTAAATCATGGTTTATACTAGTTAACACATTAGTTTTATTACATGTGTTATGTAATTTCTACCCTAGTCAACTAAATGTAGGTGCTATTATCCAAATGTAATAAATGACATAGAGAGGTTAAGTGAGTTTTTTTTTTTTTTTGGTACCAGGGATCCAACTTGGGTCATTGCGCTTGCGCAGCAGGTGGCGAAACCACTGAGCTAAATCCCTGGCCCTGGTTAAGTGAGTTTTTGAATTTTACCTAGGTAGCTAGTACATGTCTAACTTTAGATTTAAATTTATTTTATTTTCTTATTCCAAAACCTGAAGTCTTCTCAGAATGAAGACTTATTTAAAAAAATATATAGAGTCTACTGATATGCTAAAAATAAAACTTGATTAGAAATTTAAGTTAGCTCTTGCTGTGATAACATCTACTCAATTAAGTTTTGTGTATCCTGTCACTGGGACAAAATACCTGACAGTCACAGCTTAAGGGAGAAAAAGTTTAACTTGGTTCAGAAATACAGAGTTTTCATTTCATGGTTGTCTGGCTCCAAGGCAGTAACATCAACTTGGCAGGCCAAGGGGGTGGTAAATCTTCTTACTTCATGGCCTTCTCAGTCACTTCTCTTGTTTCTGGGACACAATACCTGGCACCCACAGCTTAAAGGAGAAGTTTATTTTAGCTCACAGTTTGTAGAACTTCTTTACATAGACAGAAGCTCCAAAGCAGAATTGCATGGCTGAGGAGCAGCAGCTAAAGGCATGGCAGTCAAGAAGCAGATAGAAATCAAGGGAGGAGGGAAGGAGTTATATCTTTCCAAGCCATGCCACCAGTGACCCATCCTCTCAAACCAGGCTTCAACTGTGAATATCACGTTTAGCTCTAAACTCATCAGTGGACTAGTCCACTGAGGAGTATCATGCCCCCATGATCCAATAACCTCCCAAAAGTCCTACTTGTGAGTGCATGAGGCTTTGGGAGGACATCTAGATACAAACTGTAACATTTCACCCCTGGACCCCAAAAGTCTTATGGACATGTCTTTGTGAAAATGTATTTAATTCATCTCTAAGAGTTACCAAACTACTAACAGTTGCAGCATTGTTGAAAAGTCAAAGTCCAAAGTCTCTTTTGAGATTTAAGGCAAACTCTTTTCTTTGAGCCCCTGTAAAAGTAAAAAAGAAAGTTAAAAACTTCTAACATAAAAAGGCATAGGGTAAACATTCCCATTCCAAAAGGTAGAAGTTGGAGGATAGAAAGGAATGGATCAAAGCAAGGCAGAAATACAACAGGGAAATCATTAAGTCCTAGATCATATAAAGCAGCCAGGGAAAGTTGTAGTGAGATGAACTCCAAATGGCTTGCGAATCCCAGCCCCTATGATATTGCTGGTGGTTTTAACCGTCATGGCTTCTCTCTTGATCCAGCTTTGTACACTACTTACTGCTTGGAATATCCTCAGAGATTCCATGTTCTTGGCTTTTCCAGGATCCTCAGATCTCCACAGCACATTTGGCTTCATACAGCTTTATGCACTTTGCTCTCAGGAACACACTGCCTGGCCTCCCAGACCTTCTTCTGAAATCTGGGCAGAAGTCTCCCTGTCCCCATGATTTTTGCATTCTGTGTGCATGTAAAACCAGCACCATGTGGATGTTGCCAAGTTCTGCTGTCAGCTGGAGCAGTAGCTGAACACTTTGCATCTTGCTGTTGTTTGCAGAACCTTCCAAGTGCCTGAGTGGCTGAGTGTGGTGAACTGAATCTAAGGGAATCAATTCCTTAAGCAGGCTTTCTCCAACAGAGTATGCTGGAGCTCTCTTATCAAAGCATAGTCTTTTAATTTTTCAATTTTGAACCTGTGAAAAGTGGATCCTGTACAGTTCCTCACATGCCCTTAAGCCAGTTTTCCTATTGTCCTGTTCCAAAGTACTTGCCTTCTTTTTAATGTTGATTTTTTCAGCAACAAAGCTCTCCCGTGTTTCATCTTTGCAGGACTCTATTGGTGCTTACTTTTTAGCCAAACTCAAAACTTTTAAAATCATTCAGCTGTGCCTTTTGCTCTTGATTCTCCAGATTGAACTAGCTAAAAGCCCCCAATAGTAGACACGAAAACACATGAATGTTGGACTGTCTTGAAATTTCCTCTGCCAGGTTAGTCTGCTGCGCTTAATCTGTCTTTCACAAAGCCTCCAGACATGAGCAAAATGCAGACAGCTTTTCTTCCAGAGCATAACATAACATGGCTTGGAGTCCAACTGCCAAGAAAGACCTTTTCTACTAAAACATCTTGAGCCAGGTCTTTATCAAGTGCATTACTGTCAACATTCTCATCATCTAAACTCTGCCCACAATATCCCATAAAGCTTGGCTTACAGCATTTTAGGGCTCTTTCTCCAGCTGGCATCTCCAAACCTTTCCAAACTCCTCATGCAATCCAGTTCCAAAGGCTTCTGAACCACATGGTCAGGTAACAAAGACCACAGCAAAGACCACATTTCTCTGGTACCAAAAGTCTGTCTTAGTGACTTCCTTTGTTGCTCGGACACAGTACCTGTTACACACAGCTTATATGAGAATAGATTTATTTCTGCTCAGAGTTTTTAGAAGTTTCAGTCCACATTCCAATAACTTCAAGGCAGGGCAAAATGGCAGAGGAGATGCAGTTCAGGTTGTGGTAGTCAGCAATGAGAGGAAGATCAAGGGAGGAATAACAGAGACATCTGCTTTTTTATTGTTTATATGTGAATGTTCCTGCTGAAATCTCATGTGATCATATGTTGGGCTTTTGGAGCTTGATTGGATCATGGGGTATGATACTCATCAGTGGATTAGTTCACTGATGCATTTATAGCTAAATGTGATATAGGGAGTTGAATCTGGTCAGAGGTGGGTCACGGGGGGCCTGGATCTCATTCTGCCATGCTACCTTGCCTTGAAGCCAACTCACTATGGATTGAAAGCTCTACAACCTGAGTCAAAATAAGCTTTCCTCTTTTAAGTTGTAGGTGTTGGGTACTGTGTCCCACCAATGAGGGAAGTAAGACAGATTTTGGTACCACAGATGTAGGGTTGTTGCTGTGTCTATACTTGACCATGTGGTTCAGAAGCCTTTGGAACTGGTTTGTGCGAGATGTTTGGAAAGGTTTGGGAATGCCAGCTGAAGAAGCAGCCTCGGAATGCAAAAAGCTGAGC